GTAGTAGTAGTAGTAGTAGTAGTCGTAGTAGTAGTAGTAGTAGTAGTAGTAGTAGTAGTAGTAGTAGTAGTAGTAGTAGTAGTTCGTAGTAGTAGTAGTAGTAGTAGTAGTAGTAGTAGTAGTAGTAGTAGTAGTAGTAGTAGTAGTAGTAGTAGTAGTAGTAGTAGTAGTAGTAGTAGTAGTAGTAGTAGTAGTAGTAGTAGTAGTAGTAGTAGTAGTAGTAGTAGTAGTAGTAGTAGTAGTAGTAGTAGTAGTAGTAGCAGTAGTAGTAAGTATACAAGGATAATCATTTTTACTCGTAGTATTTCTAGTGTGGTATCATGCAACGATAAAACAGTGTGCAAGCCGACGGCAACAGAGTTTAACACCAAACGCAACAACTGTACCAACATTAGTGACAACGCTCATTGTTACTGCTGGTATGATTCGCAATATTCGTGCAATGCTCCATCATGCGAGCAAGATCTTTACCTCCCGTGGTCCCATCCCCATTGCTATGCAACTTTGGTCTTCGCGTTTGTTGTTGGACTCGCAAGCGGAGCCGCATTTACAATCGCATCGCGCGCGTCTCCTGAATACCATGTGCCGTCGCTTCCTATACGCGCCAGCACGCATTTGTTTGTGCATGCTGTTTTGTGTCCGTAAGATAGCGCCATCGGATAGCGCGTGGGCTGCGTGAGCGAACCATGCTGCTCCCATGCGGCATTCCTAACTTCATCCCTGCGGCCGCTCAACGCTTTCGCTTTCTCGCTAACGAACTCCGCTTGATGCGGGGCTCGCCTGCTTTCATAATCAACTTGTCGGGTCCGACGCTCGCTGTTTTCTGAGTTTCGCTTTCACGTGCCGCCAGGAGTAAAACTCAACCCTCACCTCGTCGTCCTTCCCCTCGCCCTCCCGCGCAACGGGCGTCTCCTGCTCAGTCTGTGCGTACTAGATGGGGAGGAGGAGGAGGAGGAGGAGGAGGAGGAGGAGGAGGAGACGACGACGACGACGACGACAACGACGACGAGGACGGCGACGATGACGATGACGGCTGAGGCCTGAGCGGTGGCAGCCGCGGGGGAGTGATGATTTTCCAGGTGTCTTTAGGGGTCCCAATCCTTCAACAAGCCCGAACAGAAAGCACAGTCAACCCGCATAGTCAGGGCGAGCGACTTCCCAAGGTTACCCTTGCATCCTTCCCCTTCGGCCCATCCTCGGCCGCTTTCGCTGGCCGCGCCCCGCTCGCAGAGTGTTCGACATCCTGGTTTTCCAAGGCCGCTGCATCCTTCCCGTGCGTCCTCCTCAGATACAGGCTGACCGGAATCCTTTTCCCACTCTTGGGGGGGGAGTTTGAGGCCCTCTGCGTGCAAGGCGGGGCCCCGCTGGCCAGGGGAGCCACGGGGGCGGAGGGCCAGGAGCAGAGCGAGGCCGCGCGGGCCAGGGCCCGGGGAGCGGCGCGGGGGCCTGGGGCAGGGCGGGGTCGCAAGGGGGAGGCTCGGAGGCGACGACACAGTCCACTCGTGTACGAAGGACGCACGAGTAGGATGCAAGGGCCGCGGAGGGCCATGCCGACATCTTGCGAGCAGGGCGCCGCCGGCGAGAGCGGCCAAGGATGCATCGGCCTTGGAAGGCCACGTCGACACTCTGCGAGCGGGGCGCAGCCAGCGAAAGGGGCCGGGGATGGGCCGAAGGGGAAGGAGGCAGGGGTAACCATGGAAAGTCGCTCATCCATACTATGCGGGTTGACTGTAGGGGCGAATAGCCCAGGGGCGGGCATTACACGTATTCGCCCGGGAGCCTCGCCGAAGGCATGGACCATCGGCGCCCCTGGATACATGTATGGCTCTCCCCTGGGCTATTCGCTCCCATCGACGCCCCCCGGAGGGCGGGGGGGGCGACCAACGACGACCGATGAGATGACGAGCGAAATTTTAGAGCTTCGAGCTCTTGGACACAGGTGCGCAAGAGAATAAAGGGCCCCAGGCTCTCGGACACCTCAGTGAAAAAGACTATGGCTCCTAGAGGGCCTCAGATGAACTACAGAACGCCACAGAAGGCCCCACGAGGGCCTCACGAGGTTTCCCAAGATGGCCCTGGACTCCCCCAAGAGAGCCCCGAGGCCCGAAGGGAGGTTCTGGATGAGCCCAGGAGGTCCCCCAGACGGCGCAAGATGACCCCAATATGGCCCACAAGCACAATGAGACGTCCCAATGCAGCTCCGAGATGGCCCCAGGAGACTCCAAGAGGGATCGATTGCGGCTAATCTGACTTCAGCCAGGATGGTCCGTAATTGTGCACTGTTGCTCAAGCCTGTCCCTCCTCGAGGCCGTGAGCGCGCCCTCGCTTGCTGGTGCCGCGACGTGTGCCGATCGTATGCTGCTGCTCGGCGGCGTGCTGGAGCTCCTCTGCGGGCCCGCGGAGGCCAACCAGCTGGACCCAGTGCACAAGGTCTTGGCATCGCTCGGACTTGTGCATTTTGTTCTCGGCGAGGACCCTTGAGGACCATCCTGGACCATCGAGCAAACAAACACGCACGGAGCCCAAAAACACATGGGAAATGGACGTCCGAGCGACGGCAAGAGGTGCCAGTGTTCACGGAGACGGTCACCGTAATCGGTCAGACGGTGGAGGAGGAGGCCGCGCCGGAGGCAAACGCGGTCGAACCGCTCACTGCCAGCATGCTGCGGGAAGACATGGACGCGTCAGCTGCGGACATCCTGCCTTGGGACGGCCGTCGGTTTAGAAGAGTGAAGCAGCTGCAGGAGGCCAAGCGAAACCACGGCTGTGTGGAGCTCATGCGCGAGAGTGGGACCTTCGTGGCCGTCAAGAAGATGCCGACGAGGTGGATCCGCGGCTCGCCAGACGAGTTCGACTCGCGGCACCCGGATTCCGTGGAGAGACCGTGGATGGACGTGGGCCTCGTCAGGCGCCTCAACGAGATCAGCTACCCGTACTCTGTCAAGTTGCTGGGCGTGTTCGCGGACGAGAAGAGCACCTACGTGGTCAGCTCGCTGGCGTCCGAGGGCGACCTCTTCGCTTGGTGCGACCGCGAGCCGAAGCCTGGCCCACGGCGGGAGGCAGCGATGCACCCTCTCGCGAGCCAGATCTTCAAGGGGGTGAGATGGCTGCATGACCTCGGCATCGCTCACCGGGATCTGTCTCTGGAGAACATATTGCTCCACAGTGAGAACGGTGACTTGAGGATCAAGATCATCGACTTCGGTATGGCCACGCTGGATCGGTTGGCGTCGGCGTCGGCCGAAGTGGGGAAGCAGTCATACCAGGCCCCAGAGGTCCATTTGTCGCAGCCCTGCGACACCATCATGACAGACCCATTCTCGCTTGGCGTGGTGCTGTTTGCCATGGCTGCGCAGGACTACCCGTGGAAATCTACCGCGCGGAATACCTGCGAGCTCTTCGAGTACGCCTGCATGTTCGGTTTTACGAAGTTTCTCGGCAAGCGTCGGCTGCGCAAGGGCGCTGGCGAGAGTTTGGCCGAGGTCTTCTCCCCGAATTTCACGGCATTGCTGGCGAGCCTGCTTGCCACAGACGTAGAGAAGCGGCTCACTCTCGGAGAGAAGTGCTTTGATACGCCTGAGAACGGCAGTGATCGGAAGAACAGCGTATGGGATTGCAAGTGGATGCAGCAGCCTCTGGTCACAACAACAGAGGTTGGAGCAGTGGCCTCATGTACCGCATGCATCTGACTGGCTTCTCTTCCAACGCCCTGGTTGGCGGGTGCGGATCATATGGATCCGCATAGGCTCTCGTGTTTATACCAATGCGCCAATATCTTGGAATAGATGCTGCACGCAGCATTATTTCATGTTCTCCCTTCTCCGCTCGCGAATCTTCTGCTCTTCCTTAGCTTGCCGTCAGCCTAACACAGCCAGCATCGTTTTTTTTTGAATGCCTACTATTTGATTCGTTTTCCGCGTTTATGCATGGCGAGTCTGGTGGATCCGATCGCCGGGACAACGTAGGTTGCACATTGCATGTGCAAGTCGTTTGCCCGTGATTCTGTAGGTGCGGTTGGTCCCAATACGGAGGCATGCCGAACGCGATGCTAATTCGGAGTTTTTATGGTTTGTCCATTCAGTCAAAATGATTGACTACTCCCCGATAACGCGCACACGTCAGCTGTACAGGACGAGCGTGGTGAGCCGTGCCCGCTGTACTTTTTAACGTTATACTGGCGCGGGCGCCCGACGCGAGAGTGGCAAGACCCGGCCACCCGCGTCGCGTGCTTGCGCTGATGCCAAAGGGGGGAAGAGGCTGGTCCACCGCAGACGCCCGAGGGGGGCATCAGCTCTCACGTGCGCCGCTTTCCCCCGCATCCTCGCGGTGCTGTCGTCCGTTCTCCACGCGCGTGTGCAATACTTTCTTCACAGCCCGAGCGGGCTTCGTGCTTCTTTATGTGCCTCTTGCCTCCTCCAGCACCCCTCACCTCGTGGCAGCTGGGGGAGTCGGAGCTCTACGATTGCGATGTGAGGATCGCCAGTGCGCTTTCCACCCATACTCGCAGCTCGCAGTTGGACAGGATTGCCTGACTTGGTGGCTCTTCTTCTTCTTCTTCTTCTGCTTGTTCGTCTTCACATCCTTTCCTCACCTCATCACCCTCCCCATCGGAACCGCCCGCACCCGCGTCGTCACCCTCGTCATTGTCCTGATCCTCCCCATTCCCCCTCTCTGCTTGGCAGCTTTAGCCATCATCCCGCCTCCGCTCGAGCGAAACATGGGGCGCTTGTGTCGCGCCAAAGTCTCGCGGCCGGGCGTGCACCATCCCTCTTGATCGAACAGCCGATGTCTCCTCTTGGCGCTTGGATCAAGTCGGCCGGTTTGCCGGAAGCGGTCCCAGAGCTGCACCGTTAGCGCTCGCGGTGCCATAAGCGTTGCCGTGCCGCTCCAGGATCGCGTTATACTGACGTTGTTGCATGTTCGCCGATTGGAAATCTGAGCCAATCATGCGGCCGAGGAAGATATCATTGGTCGCACTTAATGAGGGACGGCTAGGATTGCGTTCGATTTCGTTCCACATCCCATGCGGTCAGCGCGCCCCGTAAGGGCGCGCGCCTTCACCTACAGTGCCGTTTTTAATACATGCTCCGCGTGCGGATCATGTATTAATCATGCAGGGATTTAGTATTGAAAACAACGATGAGTTCATGCATAAATTTATTCATCAATTAATCATGTATTAAAATCCTTAAAACAAATCCATCAACAAAAAACTGCCCTGTAGGGTGCCCTTGTGTCCTCGCCTCTGCGGTCCGTCCTTTTGGCATTTTCGCTGGTCGCCCGCCGCCCAAAAATCCCAACTTCGGCCTCCCAGGCTCTTGCGTCCTTACCACTCGTCCTCAGTACACGACTGGACTGTACACATGTGCGTCTTAGCTCGGGCGCTCCTCGTCTCCGTGGTTCTCCTCCTCCGCTCCCCGTCTCCCTCCGCCCCCTCCTCCCTCGTCCCCCTGTCTCTCCCGTCGCCTGTTCGCTCCCTCCTCTTTCTCTTGAGCCTGGACCTTCTCCCCTCGGCCTCGTGCACCTTCTCCGTCTCCGCCCCTCGCCGCAACCCCCTGCTCCCGATACTGCCTCCGTTGCTGCAGCCGCTGCTGCTGCTGCTGCTGCTGCTGCTGCTCATCCTCGCGTCCTCGCCTTCCGAGCTCGCCCTCGTCCTCCACCGGCTCTTTTTCCTGCTCCTCCTCCTCCCTCCATCCATCATCCTTCTCCTCCTCGTCGCCCCACCCGTCCTCCTCCTCTGACCCCCTCCTCTTCCCCCATCCTCTTCGTCCGCCCTCTGCTCCCCTCCTCGCTTCTCCTCCTCGCTTCCCCTCCTCGCTTGTCCACCTCGCCTCTCCTCTCGCGCTTCCCCTTCTCGCTTCTCCTCCTCGATCCTCGTCCTCCTCATCCACCTCCTCCTTCTCCTGGATCCGCCTCCTTATCCCTGATCCTACTCCTCTCATACCCTGCTCCTCCACCTCCTCTGCAATCCTCCTCCTCCTTCTCGTTCTCCTCTTCCTCCTCCTCCTCTTCGATCCTTCTCTTTCTCGATCCTCGACCTCCTCGATCCTCCTCCTCTATCCTCGATCGTCCTCCTCCTCTATCCTCCTTCTCCTCCTCCTCCTCCTCCTCCTCCTCCTCCTCCTCCTCCTCCTCTTCCTCCTCCTCCTCCATCTCCTCCTCCTCGATCCTCCTCCTCCTTCTTCTCCCCCTCCTACTCGAGCGGTAGCATATTGGGTAGCAGGTAGACAGGGACACGGATCTGCACGTAAGGAACAGGAGTGTTCCTGGGCAGTTGGCTCCAGGGATCCGTTTACGATGTGCCGCTTCACACCGCTCTACATAACAAAAATCAATGTTTTATCCACCGCTATACTTGCTGGTAGCGAAGCATTTTGCTCCACCATTTGCCGCCATGGCCCGCGTGGCATTCCCGCGCGCTCCTGGCGGTCGCTATACATCCCGATTTACGAGCCGCTCTACATCGGTCTCTGATGATCCTCCTCGCCCAGGCAGGCGCCGCGCCTTCAGGGGCTGGCGGGGCTAACTAGGCCCAATGCCCTTCCCTTCTCGTGCCTTTGCCTTCCCCTTGCCCTTGCTGTTCTTGTGCTTGCCCTTCCGGTTCTGGTTGTCGGGCTCGTGATCGTCCTTGGTGGCGTTTTCCTTGCCGCTGATGTCGTTGCCCTTCCCACTGCAGGTCTGGTTCCAGTAGGTGTTGGGGTGGTCTTTGGCCCACTGGTCCGTCCAGTTGCTTTTCATCCACCGCTCGAGGCCTGCTCCAGTTGCCGACGCAGCAGGTCGCGGTGCAGCTCCTCTGCTTCGAGGACGGCTCGAGGTCAACCTCCACGGTGGTCGCGCAGTTCCCGATCCACCCGCCGTTGTCCCCCATGATGTCGCCACTGCGGGAACTTGCGATGGAAGCAGTGGGTGGCGTGGTGGTCGTTGTGCGCTGTGGTGCGCTCGAAGACGATCACGTGCTTTATGACGCCGCAGTTGAGCTCGGGCGTCAGCACGCTGTCGACGTAGGCGCCTGTGCCAGGCAGGGTTGCGTGATCTGGATGTCGTTGTCGGCGTGGCCCCAAGCAGGGGACGAGATCAACGGTCCTTGTGGTGGAATTTGTGGTCTATCGCGGTCCGAATGGGCCTATTATGGCCGCGCTGGCCGCCGCCTCGGCCCCCCTCCGGGGCCAATAGGGGAGGGAACGGGCGATCGCGGCTTCCTCCTCCTCCTCCTCCGCGATCCTCCTCCTCGATCCTCCTCCTCGATCCTCCTCCTCCTTGATCCTCCTCCTCGATCCTCCTCCTCCCCTCCTCCCCCTCTTCCTCACGCCTCCTCCCCTCCTCCTCTTCAATCCTCCTCCTCGAGCCTCCTCCTCCCCTCCCCACCCCTCCTCCTCAGTCCTCCTCCCTCCTCCTCCTCCTCCTCCTCCTCCTCCTCCTCCTCCTCGTCCTCCTCCTCCTCCTCCTCCTCCTCCTCCTCCTCCTCCTGCTCGCTCCTCCGCCTCCGCCTCCTCGCTCCTCGCTCCTCCCGGCGGCGGCCCGCGGAGCGCACACGGCCGCACGAGGCGCGCCTATCTGCGCGCCCCCCCCCGCCAGGCTCGGGCCGCCCGCGGGGCCGCCGCTGAGCGAGCGGGCGCCGGAGGCGCCAAGCCAGGCGCCGGAGGCCCGCGCCCCGCCCGCCCCCCCGCCTCCTCATTCCCTCCTCCTCCTCTCCGATCCTCCTCCTCGAGCCTCCTCCTCCCCTCCCCTCTCCTCCTCAATCCTCCTTCTCCTCCGCCTCCTCCTCCTCCTCCTCCTTACTCCTCCTCCTCCTCCTCCTCCTCCCTCCTCTCCTTCTTTTCCTCCTCCTCCTCCTCCTCCTCCTCCTCCTCCCTCCTCCTCCTCCTCCTCCTCCTCATCCTCCTCCTCCTCCTCCTCCTCCCGAGCTGGGATAGCCAGGAAGGCGTCGTCGTCGTTGTCGCCATCGCTCGTCGTCGACGTCGCCGTCTTCGTCGTCGTCGTCGTCGTCGTCGTCGTCGTCGTCGTCGTTTGTCGTCGTTCGTCGTTCGTCGTTTGTCGTCGTCGTCGTCGTCGTCGTCGTCGTCGTCGTCGTCGTCGTCGCTGTCGTCGCCGTCGCCGCCGCCGCCGCCGCCGTCGCCGTCGTCGTCGTCGTCGTCGTCGTCGTCGTCGTCGTCGTCGTCGTTATCATCGTCCCCTCGTCCCCAAGGGGGCATGCGGGAAGCCCCAGGGGGCACTCCGGGAGGCCCGCCAAACTTTCGTATTTGGTCTGGGCCCCATAAAGTATCCTCATAACTGGGGACTGAGGACACGCCCCTCTCCGTGCCCACAGGCACGGTGGTGGATAGAGCACTTCCGTTGCGATGATGGCTCCCTTGAGGGGCAGCGGATCGTTCAGTGTCCGCTCCCATCTTTTCCTTTGCCCCCAAACAACACCTTCTCGACCCCAGGCGCCACGGAGCCTGCAACCTGTATTGTTGAACCGATCCCTAACCCCATCCCCATCCCCATCCCCATCCCCATCCCGACCCCCACCATCCCACAACCCCAGTTGGGGCTATGCCCCGCGAATTCTGCGGGGAACAGCCGAACACCCTACATCCCCATCAAGGGGGCAAGTCGGCCAGTGGAGCCCAGGCCACTCCCGTGGGGATGGGGATCGGTGAAGTGATGCTGCTCGTGCGCAGGTCGAAGAAGAGCAAGGGGCATACACGTGCGGTCGGGATCCTTTGGATTGGCGTGTCGCGCCGCCGGCTCAGGCCCCCCGCGCGCTTCGGCGCGACAAGCCATCAACTTCGCCACTTCCAAGCGTCAGCGTTCCCGCCCCGCGGAGCGGAGCGGCGCGCTTCCCGCTCGCATGGCATGACTTGTCGCCTGGGCCGCCGCGGCGTCACGCTGAGCAAAAGTTCCCGACCGTAGCATCATGGCGCGAACATCGCAGATCGGATTTCGTTCGGAAAACACTAGGGTGGGCCTGGAGTGTCCTGGAGAACTTCGTTCCGGATTTCGACGTGAATTCCGTGCGGATTTTGGTTTGGCCAGAAACGAAAACTAACACAAATCCACGTGAAATTCGCTTCGGTCTTCGCTCGGTGTTTCGGGGCTCTGCATCGGCAGACTTCCACTCACAAGTCCGCTGCAGCACGTCCGCAAGGTCGGTGCAGTGAGCGGTGCTTCTCGGCCCCAGGCGCCACGGAGCCTGCAATTTACCTGAAGATGGGTTAGCCTTCTTATAGAAGGGTTCTTTTTCTGAAGATGGGTTTACCTGAAGATGGGTTTACCTGAAGATAGGTTAAATTCACCTTCTTGATTCTTATCGAAGAAAAACAAACAGCACATTTACCTTTTCGGAGTGCCGCGCGCATGTCTCGGACCTGCACTGGACCTCCCCTGGTGGCGCCTCTGTCGCCGCCCCCGGGCGCGCTCCGCGCGCTCGGGAGGGTGTGTGTGTCCGCGCAGAGCCAAGACAAATCTGCGCGGGCCCTCGCAAGTTAATATGCGCATGCCGATGTCTGCTCCTCTGGCAGGGTCAAGCCGAGACCAGGCGTAGCCTGCGGTGTGGAAAGCCCCGGTGATTCGCGGAGCCCTCAGTGGTTCTTGGGAGCGCCAGTGTTTCTTGTTTTGTTTTGTTTGTTTGTTTGTTTGTTTGTTTGTTTGTTTGTTTGTTTGTTTGTTTGTTTGTTTGTTTGTTGTTGTTGTTGTTGTTGTTGTTGTTTTTCCTTCTTTATGTTTCCAGCAATATTGATCTTGAGATAGAAAGCGATATCAAAACAACGGTTCGCCGAAACGAATAACGGCTCTGGGATTGAAGCGGGAACAGGGACCGGAGAGCAAACGGCTCCGGAACCGGAAACAAAACATGGCAGAACGAACGCGGGGAAATACGGCCTTGTCGTTTCCATGAACCACCAGGACGGGGCCAACTCCGCAGCCGCTTGCGACGCGGCCTCCCGCGCGATCATCTTGCCCGTGCCCACTGCCGTCTGCTTCTTGGAACTTCTTGGCTGCCTCCTTGACCAGCAAGCAGCCCCTCGGCTCTTTTCACCATCACTCAGGCCCGCTTCTCGTTTGGCCAACTGTTCAGCGGCTTGTCCATCCTCGGGCCGAAACGAGTCTCTTCGGCGGCCGACGCACGGGCGACGCATGCGCGGCGTACCCACATGTGGCGAAGGCGGGGGGGTGAGCACGCCAGACGCTTCACTGGGCCTTTACAGTCGACGCGCCGAGAAAGGACGCGCGCCTTCAGCTAGGGTACCTTTGTATCCTTGCCTCTGCGGCACGTCCTGTGCCCTTTCCGCTGGTCGTCCGCCGCCCAACAAGAAGCGTAACTTCAGCCTCCAAGGGTCTGGCGTCCTTGCCTTCCGTCCTTCATGCACGTTTTGCCTGCACATCTTCTGCCTCAAGCGCTGTTTGTGCACCGCAGCCCGGCTCCATGCCCTCGCCTGGGCCCGCGGCTGCGGAACGTACCACGGTGCATCTCTGCCCCACGGCCCCTTCTTGGGCGCCCGCTCCGCGCGGGCGGTCTGCCGCGCCAGCCGCCGCGCCTGGGTTCTTCCAGGGCGCAGCGGTCAGGGCCTCCCACCCCTCGCGGACTGGCAGGCACCTTGCCTCGACACGCCCGTTCTGAAACGTGATACGTACCGTGTCCAGAGCGTCCGTTCTGACCCGCTGCATGTTGGCTCAACGTGTTGGCCCACGTTCCGGCGAACGTGTCTTGCCAAACGTACGTTCTCGCTCTGCGTTTTGAGCTCTGTGCCAACACGCTGCGTGTTGCGCGGTGCGTATCGGGGCAGCTAGGCCAGGCACCCCTCCTGCAGAGGCGGGCGGCAGCCTCACCGCCCAGCAGCGGGTCTGGCATTCGTTCGGCCAGCGCGTGCGAGCAGATGTCCACCTCGACCCCTCCAGAGCACGAGCCCCCGACGCCTTCCCTCTGGGCCGCTTTCGTCTTGGACTAGTTTTGCATGGCCACGGGATCCGATAGTCCACGTCCAACTCTTTCCCACCACATCCTGTTCCTCCTCCTCCTCCTCGTCCTCCTCCTCCTCCTCCTCCTCCTCTCCTCCTCCTCTCCTCCTCCTCCTCCTCCTCCTCCTCCTCCTCCTCCTCCTCCATCCTTGTTCCTTAGAAGAAATTCCTCCTTGTGGCACCCCCCGACTTGTCAGCAGGGCGGGCCGGGCGCTTCGCTCGGGCCTTCCTCACCACTCACAGCCCTGAAGCTTACACTTGGCAGTCGCTTCGCTGATGGAGGGGGACTCGTTGTCAGAACGTGTTTTTGCCGCGCACATTTGTTTCAAAAGGTTGCAGTAGCTTCGGAGATCGGGGGCATTTTTTTTCCCAACCCTCCTGTGTTGGGTTCTCGTTTTTGATTGGAGCAGTGCGTTCGTCTTCAGATGTTGCAACAGGGTTCGCATGGTTGAAGTCCCAGGAATGGTTTTCTGGCGCGGCGCAGGGTTTTCATAATGCAACTCTCATATTGATTCGCGGTGTTGATGCCACAAGAGGGGTGTTCTGGTCGGCTTCACGATTGTCCAGACGCAACAGTCACATTGTTTCGCGTCGCTGAAGTTTCAGGGATTGTTTTCTTGTTGGCACGATCGAGGATTCTCATATGGTTGTTACCAGAAGGGGCACTTCCGGCAATGAGAACAAGCTCATGTAGGGACTTCTGAAGAGGGAACTCGGAGGAAGGGCTTATTGCAACACCGTCGATGCGTCTTGGGTTTGCAGTGGTTCGCCTGCTCCTCCTCGTCGTCCTCGTTGTATCTCATCCTCCTTTCCATCCCCCGTCCTCGTCGCATTTCGTCTCGTGTTATTTTATCCCATCTCATCTCATTTCATCTCATATCAACGCGTCTCATCTCATCTCATCTTATCTCATATCACCGCATCTCACCGCACCCCATCTCATCCCATACCATATCATACCATATCATATCATATCATATCATAGCATAACCTCTATTAGCATCCCATCGCATCCCATTTCACCCCATCTCATCTCAACTCCTCTCATTTCATCTCATCTCATCTCATCTCATACCAGTGCATCTCATCTCGTATCATCTCATCCCATCCCATCTCATCTCATCCCCTCCCATCTCATCCCACCTCATCCCATCCCATCCCATCTCATCCTCAGAGGCAACGTTGGGGGGGACAGGCTCGGCGGGGGGGGACGCGTCGACCCCTGATCGCCCATCCCCCGCCGACCTCGGAGGGGCCTCGCAGCCCGCCCCGCTCGGGCACGCTCGGCTTCGGCATCGGGGGCCTGTCGCCGACCCTCCTTCCACGCATCGCCGAGTCCAAGCCGATGCCTCCCCGCCTGGAGCCCGTCCCCCCCAAAACGTTTCCCCTCTCTCTCTCCCTCCCTCCGTCCGTCTCTCCCCGGAAGGCAGGCGATCACAAACGTGGATTAAAGGGGGCGTGGATTAGCGACGGGTCCCGTTTCCATGGGACATCGCGGATTTCCGCCGCCGAGCGAGGCGGCACTGGCCGCAGTTTGGGGAGGGCACCTCCCCCGATCCATGGAATTGGCGACAGCGCTCCAAATCCATGGATCGCTAATCCATGTTTGCGCGCCCCCGAAAAAAATCAAACGCTCCCGTCCTTCTGCCTCGCAGGCTGCCTGCTCCGAGCAGGCGCTCGAGTTGGAGCAGGTGAAGGCTGGCCGGGTTCCGGGTTCAGTCGTCCCCGCCGCCGCCGTCGGCATCGTTAATCGTTCGTGGTCGGCGTTCTCGTGGCCGCCGCCCCCCAATTGTTTCCCATCATGAACAACAAGCACAGAAGCCAGCATGGGGGATTCTGGGCCGTTTCCGGCGTCCAGGGGCCCCCGTCAGGCCCCGGGGCCTTCAAAAGATTACCCAGGACGAACAACTGATCCCGGGGAAGGGGTTCAGACCTTTGGGGGTCGACGTTGTGACAAAAATCACGGCGTCGGAGTTCTGGGCCGCCGCCGTTGTCGCTGCTTCGGTCGCCGACGCCGCCACAGCAGTCGTCGTCCTCTTCGTCTTCGTCCTCGCCGCCGCCCTCGTCCTCGTCCTCTCTGTCTTCGTCGTCCTCGTTGTCTGGTGGGGGGGAGGAGGAGGACCACCATCCATGAGCTTTGGTCCTTGGCTGGGGCGTCGGACTAGTGGCAGCCTTAGCTTGCAGCTTGTTCTTCTTTTTGTTCTTATCCGTAAGGGCTGCGCCCCTATGCCGCCGGCCCCCCTCTCTTAGGATGGGGGATTGCCAAAGCTGTGTTGGGATGTCCGGAAGTGACGTGAAGCAATGTCGGGACTTCACGCGAGGGCCAATTTCAATTTACGAGGATTTATGGCTTCCTGGCGCGAATACCAGGTACTTTACGATGTTTTATGTCGTCGGGGACGCGAATATTGCATTGTTTACGAAGGTTTGTAGACTTGGGGACGCAAACATGGCGTAACTTGAAAGGGTTTATGGCCTCGGGGGCGCACATATAATGTAATTTACATGTGTTTATGGCCTCGGGGACACGAACATGGTGTAATATGGTGTAATATATTATGGCCTTTGGGACGCGAGTATCGGGTAATTGTTAAGGTTTATGGTTTCGGGGGCACGAGTATGTCTTAACTTACGAATGTATATGGTTTCGGGGTCGCGAATGTCGGGTAATGTGCGAGGGTTTACGGCTTCGGGGATGCGAATATTGTTTAATGTATGAGTGTTTATGGCCTCGGGGACGCGAATATGGAGTAATCTACTAGGGATTATGGCTTCGGAGACGCCAGTACCAAGTATTTTTGCATGTCCCACGACCCCACGGGAGTTCAGAAATCGCGATTCGGTGACGCTAACCAGGGCGCTTTTCGGCTCCCCCCCCTCATCGCGCGTTCAGCAATAATTAACAGTAAGGAAACATAAAGCAGGACTGTAACAGTGGAAACTGGAAACTGAAACTGGTACAGGGAGCTGCAAGCCTACTCTTCGCAGCCTGATGGCCCCTCAAGGTGGCCGGCGGATTCTTCTTCTTCTTCTTCGTCGTCGTCTTCTTCTTAATGGTCTATGACTCACTACTGGTGGTGTGTGTGTGTGTGTTTGAGGAATGCTGCTGCAAGAAAGGGCTGGGGAAGATGCTGTTCCTTGGAGCCGATGGCGATTTGGCTTGCCTTTCCGAGCTCTCTAGTGCTGGCCGCCGCGTTCACACACCTCGTTGGCGCGGCTGCATTCAATCTGCACGGTGTCATTCCTTCCTCGACTCCGGATCCGCCCTACTCTTGTTGATTCTCCTATTTCAAAACCATGTCGGAAATTCACTCCAAACGATGCGAAACAAGTAGGGCGGACGTTTCCGTCTCGGGAGAGTAAGGGGTATCTCTCCGCAAAGGCATGGCGGAAGCAGCGACGGCGAAGTAGGCTGGATGTCGGCATCAAAGGAGCTTGAGAAGTAGGGCGGGAGTGTCCGCTCTACACCTACGGAATCGCCCGAAGCACGACTGATCTGGAGTCAGGGGAGGTTCCGCTTACCAAACGGTCCCCGCTGCCCCGAAAGACGGTCCACCAACTTGTCGGCAGTCGGAGCGGCAGCGCAACCGCAAATGAAGCGAGTTGTCGTGCCTCTCTCCCGACGGACGCCCAAACAACGAGAAGCGCGAATTGGGTCTCCCATTCATTGCATCCTGTGGGATATGAAGACTACGCCATTATCAAGCACGGGTCGCACGCGGTGTCCAACACACGGATTGCTATGGTGTGCATGTGATTCGCTTGCACACGCCTTCACAGCGCAGACGTGTCCAAGACTTCAACGGTGACGTCGTGGTGGCTACCGAACTTCCCCTTGGAGCTTCGAGATCCTCAGGCAAGGTGGATGGCAATAGAACGCCCATCACCATGCGGTGCTCTCCCGCTGGGAAACCTGTTTTGCGAGAAGGCTCGGAATCCATGAATTGCTCGGCTGGTTTGCCTCGCCCTGCAGGGCGGAGGGAAAGAGAATACAGACGAGCATGCGGTGCTCCGCCGCTGCGCAGCCTGCTTTGCGAGAAGGCTCGGCATCCATGAATTGCTCGGCTGGGCTATGTCGCCCTGAGTCGCGCCCATTTAGCTTCCGTGCCCAGGGCGACATATTAAATGTGGTGGGGGAGGATGAATGACGTGCGCAAGGAGGAGGGTAGAGGCTGGAGCGCAGAAAGCAGCAGGAGGCGAAGGAGGAAATAAACAATGAATTCAATGTATATACGTATGTATGCATGTATGTATGCATGCATGCATGCATGTATGTATGTATCTATGCACATATGTATGTAGGTCTGTGTGTAATCATGAATGCATGCATGCACGTATGTATGCATGTATGTATGTGCATACAGGTAAATAGGTATGTGTGTAGGTAGGTAGGCACGCATGCATGCATGTATGTCTGTCGGTGTGTGTATGTATGTATGTATGCATGTATGCATGTATGTATGCACGCATGCATGCACGTATGTATGCATGTAGGTATGTATGTATGCATGTATGTATGCATGTGTGTATGTATGTGTAGGTGTATGTATGTATGTATGTATGTATGTATGTATGTATGTATGTATGTATGTATGTGTGTAAGTATGCATATTTGTATGTATGTATGCATGTATATAGGCATGTATGCATGTGCATGTGTGTGTATGTGTATGCATGTATGTTTGTATGTATGTATGTATGTATGTATGTATGTTGGTATGTATATATGTATGTACGTACGTACGTACGTACGTATGTATGTATGTATGTATGTATGTATGTATGTATGTATGTATATATGTATGTATATGTATGTATGTATGTATGTATGTATGTATGTATGTATGTATGTATGTATGTATGTATGTATGTATGTATGTATGTATCGATGTATGTATGTATATATGCATGCATGCATGTATGTATGCATGCATGTATGTATGTATGTATGTATGTATGTACGTATGTATGCATGTATGCATGTATGCATGTATGTATGTATGTGTACGTACGTACGTATGTATGTATGTATGTATGTATGTATGTATGTATGTATGTATGCATGCATGCATGCATGCATGCATGCATGCATGCATGCATGCATGCATGGATGGATGGATGGATGGATGGATGGGTGGATGGATGGACGGATGGATTGATGGGGGGATCGGATGGGATGGGATGGGTTGGGATGGATGGATGGATGGATGTATGTATGTATGAATCTCTTTATACATATATTCACATACGTACATAAATCGGGGTAGGCCAGGGGGGGGGGCCAGGCCGATGGCGTACCCTCCCATGAGTGTATTGGGGGGGTCCCAGGGCTCCCGGGACTGCCCGGGCTCGCTCCCAAACACGCCACGACACGCCAAGAGGGCCCTAAAGATTGCCAAGGCAACCCCAAGAGGCCCTGGACACGCCGAAGGTGGCCTCAGGACGGCCGACGACGCCGCCAAAACGCCCAAAGAGCGCCTCCAGAGGCCCCTCCAAAGGGGTCCAGAAGCCGAAAATCACATATGTTCCGATGGTGTTTGAAGCATATGTGCGCTCTCGCATGTTCCGCCTCCCCACGGTCCCGCACGGCGTCAGAGGCCCTTCAGATCGCTCCAAGACGGCCGAAGAGGCTCCCAAGAAAGCCCAGAGACGGCCCAGGAGGCTCCCCAGATAATTCAAGAGGGCCTCGAGAGCGCCCCAAGCGAGCCCCAAGAGCGACCCAAGAGGGCCCGAAAAGCGCGACATTTCAAGGTCTCCGGCCTGAGAGGCTCCGAGGACGCCCCCGGAGGCCATCAGGAGGCTCCCAAGAAGCCCCGTGAGGCTCCCAAGAGGCCCCCGGGAAGCCCCAATCGGCCCCCAAGGGGCCCCCAGGGAAGCCCCCTGCGGGCCCCCAAGACACCTCGGTAAATCGTATTTCCTGGACAGCTTTCCGGAACATGATTCCTTGGGCTTCCGCCCACCGCCCCATTTTTGTTTCCAATAGGCTTGCCGACAAGGCCAAAAGGGGTCCCTCGGTAAGCCCCCAGAGGCCCCCCTCTTAAGAGAACCGAACAAATCATGCTCCCAGGAGTTTCCTGGGAACATGATTCTCGGGTTGCCGCCCTCTGCCCAAACCATGTTCCCTAAACGCCTGCCAGGGAAAAAAAACACGAGAGTCCCAAGCAGCGCTACCTGCCGCCACGCTCGGAAACGCGTCAGGCCCCGAAGCCTCCGGAGGCGCCTAACGACACTCCAACAAATCATGTTCCCAGGAATCCTTGCGGGAACATGATTCCTCAGGCTTCCGCCCCCCGCCCCAACCATGCGTCCGAAGATGCTTGTCGGGCAGCCCCCCAATAGGCCCTCATACACGCCATCATGTTACCAGAAAGCTCTCCGATAACATGATTTCTCAGGCTTCCGCTCCCCGCACGCAAGAGCTGTCCCAAAGCGCCTGTCAAGCAGGACTCGCATGGGCCCTCAAGTACTTTCCTAGAAGCCCCACAGGACGATGATGATGACGATGATGATGACGAAGGTGACGATGATGGTGATGGTGATCGTGATGGTTGTGATGATG